ATATATATATATATATATATTCATTTCGCGAATCTTCAAATTTATATTATAAAAGATTTACTTGTTTCTGTATTTTATGAAGAAATGTAATAATAATTAAGCGAACAATAACTGTATTAAGCTGGATAATATCATACATTAATAAATTGGTGAACTTAGTATTATAAAATATGCTGGATAATATTCAGCATTACTGTGACTATTCCTTATTAATTAATCTTCTTACAATGTTATTTTGCTTTTAAAAGTTATTTACTTAGAAATGAAACAGTTTCGTTCCTGAAATTGTGAGACTTAACATTCAAATTAACTCTTCACAAAATAAGGTATTTCCAGTGTATTACAGATAACAGATGTACTAAATAAAACTATATTGCCAGAAACTCAAGGTAGCATTTCATTAAAAGGATTTATTAATGTAGATTTCAAATGTGTATCCTACAATTATGTATACAGATGTGTTATCATGAATTATAATAAATAATAAACTATTCCCCTATTTCGATATATCATTCACTGATAAAATCATTCAATTAACAGTTCTGATTGTTCAAATACCAATGAGAATCTCTGTGTTGATCTAATCTAATGAATAACATTCAGTAATAATCAATTAAATAATTAACAAAATTGCAAATGTATAATTAACTTAACTTAAAACAATTAAGTTAAAGCATTAATATAAACGAATATTTCCATGTTTATAATAGCGCCCAACCCCATGCCCCCTGCCCCATAAAAGATCCGAAACCCCTCGCTCTGGCGCCGGAGCATTTGCAGCGAACGGCGCTACGAGGCGGTGGCGGCGGCGGAGGGCGTTCGCGAGCCGCCGGGCGGCGCACAAAGGCTCGCGGCGGAATTTCCCGTGGCTGACGCAACGGGCGCGCCGCCGCCGCCGTGACGCGCCGCGACGTCACGGATGCCCCCGCGCCGCCGGCGACGTCGCGAGGCGGGGCGGGGCGGGCCCTCACAAAGCGTGGATCGGGACGCCCCTAAAAAGAGGCCAGGGTTGTGGAAAGCGTCGCAAGCGGCGAATCAGCGGGACTTCTGTAAATGGAACGCTCTGTTAAAATTGATTAGAAAAGAAGGGTGTTAGTTAGATCGTACGTTGTCGACCAAAGCACCCGCTTCTTCATATTTGTTTAAGTTGGTTTATTTAAACAGTGCACTTTTTACCGCTCATGTTAGAGAACTGTGGGTAATGTTTATGGTGTAAACACGACTGCTCCGCCAGCGCTACTAGCGGTGAGGGTGAGGTGGCTTTGAAACTGGGACGACTCCCACTTTAAGAATAATTTTCAAATGTTAAAATTTTCAAAATATAACTTGATTACCTGAAAGGCTTGACCTTAAAATGTTGCTCACTCTGCATTAAAAATATGAGTTTCTATTGAAAGTTTGTAAACTACCATCTTTTTCTAAAAAGTACCCGTTTCTGAAGTACTTTTGGAACACCCTATAAAGTTGGGGGCTTCACCCCTCTTCTCAAAATTTTCCGAACTTTCGGTTCTACGAGGAAACATTCTTTAAATATAGTTTTTGTTTACTTACAAGAGGGGCGTAAATCACTACCCGTTTACACTCAGTGAATGTGAACGTGGAGATATTGGTTATAAACCCAGTTTCTGTCATCATCTTCTTCAGTGTGGCTTGCAGTGTCGTGCTCGCAGTGTAAGCCTTTCCTAGAAAATCTAGTGCCTCTGGACTTCCTGAGGCAGGCGCCGACGACGATGGAAATATTCCCCAGCCTTGCAGATCACGAGTCCACCGCAAATGACGTCATGCGAGGATATGCCCAGGGATCAGTTGGCTGATGCGAAAAATGACCATGTGACTTCCTCCGCATCCTTTCCATCCGTTGCCTCACATTTAACTCGACGAAAACGTCGAGTCAAGCCATGGAACATTCCCCTTTGTTACTGGAAAGAATACCTTTTATTAAACTGAGCGTGTCAGTCACTCCCCCCCCCCCCGAAATTCTGATGGCGTTGTCGGTGTTGGAGTTGGTGTGTAATTGTATGAAAGCCTCGTAATCCGTCCACCCCAATGATTTAATTGTTGTGAATTTTTAAGTTTTGCAACTCATTGTGTCCAGAAAATATCACCTGACTCCAAACATCGCCGCCAAGAACCGTCACAGCAACGACCTCCGCTATTTTCTCCTTGCGTCCCCCTTGGCTGAGAGGATATCTCCCGAAATTATTAATTTTCAAGGAAAATTCTCTATGAAACGCCATTCGGTAATGAAGATTGTTTTAATGAATTGCATAAATGATCAATAAATGTGCGGCACTTGCAGTGACATATTCCACATACTCTGTTCCAGAAGGTATACTTGTAAATGATGTAAAGATAATTTACACACGCTGAAGTGCGGTAGTAGTTTTTGAAATTGTAAGGTATAACAAAACTTAAAAATGTTAATTTCTAACAAAATAATTAATACTCCTTCGAAGTGGGTTCCAGACATTTGAAGAAAAACAACAAACAACTGCAAATGATATAATAATAATAATAATAATAATAATAATAATAATAATAATAATAATAATAATAATAATAATTGTACCTGCAGATAGCACGCGGCGTCTACCGGACAGCGAAAGCGCCCCTCAACAAGCAATGTTTCTTTTGTTCGTAAATGTACGCGTTGGGCTATTTGGTAGCTTTTCTGCTTTAGAGACGAATGATTAAAACATTCAGGTACTTCCTTTTTTAACACTGCTTGGGGGAAGTAGTAGTAATAAAATTGAAAGCTACTTCAGAATTTTTTTTAAAATTTTTATTTTGCAAACGCTCAGTGACCATGGAAAACTATTATGCATAAAATTAGCGCTTCCAGATAGATCACGCTTCAATAGACCGGCGATAATCCGGATCAACTGGGACCAGTCCTTTCGGAATATGGAATTGTCCGGATTTGTGAAATGAACCAATAAAAGAACCGATAAACCTTTTCAAGGGAAAAACAAAAGTTCCTTAATTATTTCATAACTCCCTCTAATGATTGCAGAAGAGAAGCGGACAAACAAAACTATTAATGTAGTAAAATTGTTACGTTTTACATTACAGAAAATATCTATCACATACCCAGGCATATATTTTTGAATTAAAAATATTTCAATAACAATAATAAATTTGAATGGTACAAAAATTTGGGCCGGTTCCCTGCCAAAATACTGAGACGCTCGTTTGCCCCAAACGGTGGAGAGACGAGTAGTAACCTAGAGTGACGGACCGACACACGCATATTACCCGATTTCTAGTATAATGTACAATCACACTATTAACACACTCAACATTAAAAAAGTCGTAGAAACGTTTATTAAACACATTTGATTCTTTGGGCGGGTGGGTGGTTTTGTGGAAAGTGATAGATCCTTCGTGGTTCTGTGGAAGGTGTTGCAATCATCCTTACCACAAATCATTCTGTAATGAATTAACGTTCCTTTTAGGCTACTTTCTTCATCTTTTTGCTTATTTCCCAATTCTAGATCTGTTGAATCTTCTCCACATTCATTCCAATGCCGCTTATTGTCCCATCTTATGAGAGGGCACCTCTCTCTTTGTTTTGGATAATAAACTATATAGTACGTAGCCTAACTGTGCTCTCGTGATTCGCGTTGTTATTTTTCCTTCTGACATCACTGTACATCTGCTGGACAGTGCTTGTGATAAGCTCGAACCTTTGATCCCATGCGCTGTACTTCATTGCGCAGAGTTCGCAACAGAACGGTCAGAGCATAAAGAAGAAACACACTTGCAGGAATAATAACTGAATATTAGACAAACTTCATTGTTTATTTGTCATGTACATTTCATAATAAATTTTTGCTTATGAACACGTTTGCAATGTTTTCAGTAATTATAACAAAATGTTCTCCAAGTTTGTTCTCCATAGTTGGTACACCAAAACGTTAATTTGCATGAAAATAGATGACTACACCTGAAATCTGTCATGCTCCATTTTTAATAAGTGATGTCAATATAACATGATGATGACCCTGCTTCCTCGGACGAATGGTATAATCGTTTTTTTATTATGGTTAAGGTCGAAGTAAAATTGTCCGTCCTCGCTAATTCTTCCTTGTTCGTGGTGCTGGGATATGATCCTGCGTGGCATAAACGCAAGAGGCCATACGAGTGATTCTGCAACAGAACAGAACTCTCAAAACGACATGTGAAAATAAACTTTTAATTTTCCACTAAGCGGGCTTTAGCAATTATCTTTTTGAACTATTTATCTATAGTAAATTGAATTGCATTCGTTCTGTTTTTCGATCTCCAGACAGATCACGCATACAGCATTTCTCGAAGACGTATATATTTCGAAAACGATTTATTGTTAGATGGTCGATATTCTACAATTTAAAATTGTATTCGAATTGTATCAGAATTGTAAAATCTATGAACCTGTGGCCTCCTAGCAGGATAAGTTCATATCGTACCATGTTCCGTAACATGACCCTGTGCTTATCTGTTGACAGCTCTATGTTCAATTCTGCGTTTCCTAGTAGCATGTAAAGAGCTCTTCCTATAGTGATGATTTACGATATGTTTGCGAATGTTTATAGCGGTAAGAAACTTGGGCGTAGAATTATCTTCCTATTATATGTAATATTTACTGACTTCTTCATTCTAATTCCATGTTACCATGAATGTTACATGATTTAGGAAATTCATATTGATACAAATTACCCTATCAAAGTACCTAATACTAAAATCTTGTCCTCATTTCAGTGAAGGGTATTGCTCTTTCTGTGTAAATTATATTTCTCTTCAAACAATTAGTTAGGGCAATTTTCAAAGGAGAATAACTTTTCGGTGAATAAAACTGGAAGAAAATATTAATGTAGTAACAGTTATCAATTTCACTCCTAATAATTTCATGCCAAATAATTTCGAATGACGTTTGTCTCAGTATCACTGGCACGCACGTGTCAGACTAACGCGATAGGTTTTTTAAGTCAGTATCTAGGCAAACCATACAACTTTTCTCGCAACAAGTGAAGTTCAAACATTTTTTAGAAAATCAATTTTGGTAACCGAATTACCGAAATATGACAGCAGTTGATGTGGTCTATAAATCAGCGAGGAAATGAAAATAATATAGTGTTTATTTCACATTCAACATGGCACATATTTTGTTATTTACAGGAAAATCTGTATAAAGTATTATCTTGGTTTATCAAGTAAAGATATAAATCTCTTTGTTGCTTTATCATATGTTTTTTAAAATATTTTGTGATGATCTAATGTCAATGAACACGTATCTTGTTCATGGTTTGAGGCTGAGATCTGACTTGGACAGAAGTTCTTATATCACAACCTAGATAGATCAGCTGATAAGTTTTTTTTTTCTTTCCAAATACACATCATCTGCTGTGAAGAAGACGCAGAGCAGCCAGATTATGATACATATTTGTAATGTTATTAGTTTATTACTAATTGCACCTGAATATCAATCTGAATTAGACAAGATAGATCTTGAAGCCATGTACTACACTCACTCTCGCGAAGGAAAACTACTAATAACTTTAATTCAACAAAATGAGGATATTAAAAAAAAACAATTGAAAGTGACGAATAGGCAGAGATACACTTTCCAACTAAGGGCACATGTCGGGGCAAAAGAGAATGGAGCGTCATCGTCGGAGACAGGAAGATGTGTCCCCTATTATTTTTTATTTTTGGGTTTATATGGTACATAAGAGAGAACTCCCTAGTAATATGTATCTAATGTCTAATGAATATGTCTAATGAATGCCCCTCCACACACACACACACACACACACACACACACACACACACAATTGGTTGCTGGTGCCGCCGAAGGCAAAGAGAGTGAAGGAGCAGCATAAAAACAAACTGGACAGCGCGCCCGCGGCAACTCGCCAAGCGATCGCCGTACGGCCGTCACGCAGTAGGTGCGACGCGGCTTAGTGCGCCGCACACCAAACCATAAATAAGTTGCAAGCGGCCGCGAACGGTGGCGTCACTGACCCACAGCCGCAGCGCGTGACTGCAGCTTCCCGTGCCGAAGAGTCTTCCGCGAAGATAAAGGGGACATGCGGATATGCTGACATATGCGTGGCTTGACCGAATGGCGGGTTTCGGAAGCAGTTTGTATTTTGTGTGGTGTTCAAAGCGATTAACACAGGCGAAGGGTTTAGGGCAAAATTTAATTTATGTAGCTCCATGAGATAGATCTTCGATCTTCAGACAGATCGTGCTTACAATTCCTCGAAAAGTCGTCTATATTAATTAATTGCCCAGATGAACGATCAATTGTTTTCTTGCTCGTAATGTGCAGCTCGTTTTCTAGCTTAACATTTCCCTTACTCATAATTTATCTTTTATTGTATGTTCTTTCACATTTTGCTTTTCTTCTCCCACTTATTTCCCATGTATTCATTGTTTCCGTTTTCCATCTTCATTTAATCTTTTTTCTTTTCTTTGACTTATTTTTTCAAGACCATCCATTGCCACTGCATTGCCTATATATTTACGAATTTGTAATACTTGTCAAAAGTGGCTTACTTAACAGTGGGAACATATTTCCATGCAATTCTGATATTTATAACTACAACACACGTCGCAAAAATAACGTTCATCAAGTGTTAGTATCAACAGCTCACAGAAATGCACATACAATACATGTACGTTACTCTACAACGCACTTCCAGTGGACATTAAACAATTGAAATCGGTTCATAAATTTAAGTTAAAAGTAAAATCTTTTCTGCTGCATAACTGTTTCTATACAATTAGAGACGATACTGATTATCAAAAGAAAAATAACGTTTATTTTAACAAAACAGTGATATATAATGAATTAGTTTACATTTATATTGTGTAATTTTGTTTAAAAGACTTAATATGTCTGTAACAAATAATATACTTCAGCTTTCGGGTCAATGACCCCATCTCGATCAGGTTTTTTTTCGTATCCCTGATCCATTGAGCAAATGCTGAGACTTTACATGATGCCCTTGAGAACATTTATCACAAATGTCTCCAATTTTACCCTTACCGCCCTTAGCTTGCCTGCTTACGCAGTATAGAGAAAGTACTGTAATACTGCGTAGGAAAAACGACAGATTTTTGGCAGAAAAACTCATTGCCGGGCCCTAGTAAAGACACTAAAATATTGGAGATATATATTGTTTTTCTTAATGAAAGGCGTTTAAAGAAATATTTTGAAATACAGTCATGTTCAATTTTTCCAAATTACCTGCAATTTTCTTGTAATTTTACGCGAAATTAAGGCAATTTTCAGCAGCAATTGATACCAAGTAATTTCACAATAAATGGCACTGCGGGCTGTATGCGGCCTGCGAACCGCCAGTTTGACAACCCTGGTTTAGGCGCTTGTCATGATCACAAACTGTTGGACAGACGAACAGGCAGTCGGAGAGACAAATATACGTTTTGCTTTCATCGATTTGTTGGTATCAAGGACCCACCAATTATGGATTCTGGCAACACCACCTGTTAGAGAATGTAATTTACAATAGGAAAAGGATTTATTCACTTTTTCGCATCTAGGGCTCGACAAAAAGAGTTTTTCTGTCGAAAATTCGCGTTTTCCAGAGCACAATTACAATAGTTTCTCTTCTTACGTTCTTAAAGACAAAAAAGTAAAAATATAAATTTTAATATCCGATTATCTATCTGATCTTCGGCCTGTTCTTCTCGTAGGTCTACAAGGTGTTCCTTCAACAACTTCATCATTAAGCCGGAAATATGTGAACAATCAGAAGTTGATTTTGATGAATATCAATCGTGTGGAAAATAATGGATTTCACACCTCATCGCTTTTGTAGATTATTGTTGCAACACACACACACACACACACAAAACTGTTTTGTACAGGAGAGCGCGATTAAATTTTCTCACAACTTCATTTGCTTTTAAGAATTCCCAGAATTTCCTACTAACATATCACGGCGGGTGTTATTCCAATCCACGGTCGATTCCAATTCAAAAGGCTAGCAAATAGAGCGAATCAAAATCGAAAATTTGTAAACAAACGCTAAACTACTTACATAAAAAAATGTACATGACCTTTTTTAAGGAATGATTTTTTTACAACAAATTTCGCTTATTTGAAAAACTCTTACTAGTATCTTTACCATGAAGGGACACGAAGAAAAAATGCAGATGAGGTTTCTTACTTTGTATATAATTATTGCCTTCTGCAAGTCCACAATAAACTGAGGTACAAGTGAATTTAGGAACTGCGGAGGGCAAAGGAAGAACCACGAATAAAGCAAGTTTTATTAACGCTTATTGACACTGGCAGATTTAAAAAGATTGAGCTGTATTACTTCATAAGAGGGTACTTGTAACTTCCAAGTGACAGGGAGTTTGCTATCATAAACATTTTTTGAGAAGGCTTGACAAAGTGTATACCTTGCACCGAGTTAATAATTACTTCAATAAATTTTCAGTAACAGAAGTAAATACAACAGATATACTTAACATTCAACAATGGTGTCCATAATATTATAAAATGAATGTTACAACAAACAAGAGGTAGAAGAGTTCCTGGAGCAACAAAAGTATATTTTGGAATAAGTCCATTATTGATGATTCATGTATTGTTTAAAAAAAGGGGGTTCCTAATTCTTCTCCTGAAAGTATTGCGAAATATCAAAAGACATACGTCTATTTATTGACTTTCTCTTTTACTTTATATTTTTGTTACAACACTGATCGACATGAATCGTGCCTTCAGGATCTGTTATTTTCTATTGCGATGTGAAGGAAAATGTGACCAATGGCTTTGTACTAATACGCACAATTTATCAAAAACCGTGACTGAATCGGGTGTTTGTTTTTTTTAAACTCAATTTCAATTTTCGCCAGTAAATAACTCGAAAGCTTTGGGGAATAGAGTATGAAGAAACAATTTCAAATGCAATTTTGACAACCTCCTAAACGAGTAGTGTATCTTAATCGTTACATCAATCTGTTTCGATAAATGTGTCACAAAAATCAGTTCAGAGCTTAATTTGGAGAGGTGAGGATGTATTTAAAATTCCTCATTAAAACGAATTTATCGGTTACAGGGCTCTTAGAAAGCCCCTATTTTGTTTTTCGTGTAATCTTCCATAGGAAACCATAATTCTATTTTAGCGAGGCAACCAATACCCCAAAACGGGGCGAAGCAAAATACGGAACATTTCGGGGCCTCGGCAGAAGTTTTAAGGACAACGGGACAGAACTTAGAAAACGAGACGATCTCTATTTTACGGAAAGGACACGAACCCTATCATTAATGCTTTTCACCAGGACATGCTACTGTCATTATTTTAGCTAGGCCTTTTATTGACAGTTTAGTGGGGTACACCTACAATGCACAACTAATTGATCAGAGGATTTCATTCCCAACAACTCTGTTATGCATTGGGAAAATACCAATAAAAATGCAAAAGGAGCAAGACATTTGGAAGCTTTTTCCATAAATCTCTGAATATCATAAAGAGAGTTAAGAAGTTCTTATGGAGTGGGCTACTGATGGAAATGTGACTGATGTGGAAGATCATGTTATGACAGAGATAGATACCTAATATTTATGGCATGAATGTCAAAATCAGAAATGAAGTGTTTTTGGAGAATAATACGTCTTCTTTACTAAAACATGCATGTATGCAAGGACATAAGTCTGATAATTTGGCTTGTAAGTATACTTGTCTTATAAGTAAACAATAGTTCAAACATACAAATAAATGGTGCAAGCAGCAATATATGAATTTGTATTTATAAGCACTTCACAATAACATCCTCACTTAATGTATTGTTATGACTAACACAGAAACCGCAAGGATTTTTTTGTTTTCCGAAAAAGTGGTTTCGATCACTTAGAACCTTTCCCAGACTTGGATTCAATTTATGAAAATGGATTTTATGAAACTGAATTTTTTGATTTCATAAAAAACTAATGACGATCTCCCATCATGAAATAGCGATGCATCAGCTACCAAGCAGCAATTGATATAATGTAGGAGATAACAATCTATTTCGAATACAAAATGTTATTTTAAACTGATTTATCATAAAATCTCAGTTTTCGATATTTTTTTTCGTTTCAACAGTATTCCGCAAAAGCGACGACTTGTACATATAGATCTCAGAGCTCGAAGGAAAATCATTATATTCATCAAAACGAACTCATTTCTCTGGTGCGAGGTCTGGATATATCAATACAATAAACTGAAAGTTTCGATACTAAATTGCAGGAGTGGAATGTATTGGCACACGGAGCAAGTATTATACGCACCAAAAACGAAAATGTGGTTTACCCGCAACAGAAAAGGAAATGTGATTCTACAGAACAACAGGGCATTTTTATATTGTTTTAAATTATATTAATCATTATTTATTATTACTATTTTAATATTTTACATTTTAAATTACATGTCGTAAAGTATAAATTTACAGTCGTATATTTCTGCAAGAAGCTTTAATGAAGAAGCGGTAAACCTTAAATAATACCACTAGTTATGCTTACTAAATGAGTATACCTAAACATTTCGGTTCATCAAAACCCCGAAGCAGAGAATCCCTCCGTACAAGCACTGACTCATTTCGTAACGGGCAACTTGGCAACTCCAAGGTCGTGCTCTCGTGTTTGACGCTTTGTACTAGAACGGCAACGTAGCCCTCGGGCGTTGGCGGGCGGAGGCCAGCGAGCCGGCGTCGACCGCTGGACCTCGCTGCTCGGCTGCCAAGGCCCGCGGGAGGTCGCCTCCCGGGCCACCTTGGTCGCCTCGCGAACAGCAGGTCGCTTGCCTGGCTTGCTTTCCCCGCCAGAGCACGACCGCGGGAGACGAGCGTTGCGCAATGTAGGATAGTGACGGTGCTCGCCGCCAGAGCGCAGAAGCGCGCGGTACCGCCCCTGATGCAGTAGTGCGCAGTAGACGCCGCCATGTTCTTTGTGAATAATTGCGTGTTTGCGTACTATCAAATGTTTTTATTTTACCAGAGGCATTGCGATCAACATCGTGCTGTTTCCTTATGTAATGACATAAGACGCCTAAGAATTAGAAATCTAAGAAACCAAACATTACTTCACCCAAAAATAATCTCATTGTACCTATCTTCAAAGTGGATTAGTTTTTTCTAATGTAAAATATCTTAACTTCAATTGTTCACTAAATTCAGGAAACAATAGTTTGAATATCTTGAAGGCTAAGCATATGTGAAGTGAGTTTGAGACAAGTAATAAACATTCAACTGCTGTCATAGCCATGAGACTCGACACGTTTATTCTAGAACATTGGAATCATGTGCACAAATATAGTTCTACAGGAGAGTTGTACATGCCACACAAATGTATCAATGAAACTTCAACGACAATAATAAAAGATCATCTATCAAATGACAATATGAAATGTTTTGGAACTAAACCGTGGTTCTTCGTAGACCACGAGAAATGAAAAATTCTTATAAAGCAGAACCCTAAGATACTTTTTAGCGCTGTGAAACATGCAAGATCAGAATATCATGCAAGGAAAAACGAAAAAATACTTTTTATTTGATTGAGGACTGAGATTTAAAAACAAGTAATAAAAAAAAGGAAAAGCCTGAAGTAGTATTTTCAATATAAAAAATTCAGACAGAGGTAAAGAAATACAAAACACAACAAATAATTCAATGTTTTTATCTTCACAACACTCAAAAGCCAACTTTTGTTTTATCTGCAGATACCGCGAAACCTGTTTTAATTGATCAAACAGTCACCTCCATAAACGACAATTTTTTGATGAACCCACTGAGTTTTCCGTTAGACTCATGTAAATATTCTCTCTTTTTAGCCGCCAATGACCAGACAACTTTTGTAGACTGGCGTTCATTAAGCGGTCACCTCTGAACGATTTTGAGCTGTATTGTAATAGAAAGTCGAAGAATATTGGAGATTACTGTTGGTTCTGTATCTTCCCGAGACATGACGCGATTTATCATTGTCAGATTACTTCGAACAATGACATTCAGAGTCACATATCACGCAGAGGATTTCAATAGTTTCATTTAAAAACATTGATTGTAGTAACTTAATGAATCAATAACACGTCGCTTAGCCCATTTTGCAGCATTCGTTTGGTTTGCTAACTCGTGCTTCCCTTCTGTTAGAATCTTTCAAGAACTCGCAGAGCATTCCGAGTGAGCGAATCCGATCTGAAGTTCTTCGTCACGGTGCCCTGCAGTAAAATTTATACAGATGTGAATTGCACCTTGCAGTCTAGTTCGCTTGTTATATTCGATGAGTGCTGAATGTGAATTTCTTGACTAAAAGAGAATGAATGATACGTCAAATTTTGATATTTGAGGGCGGAGGCAAATTTACCTAAAAACTCTATTTAAATTGCATTTTGTCGTTTATGAAAATTGAAAAAGTTAAAGAAAACCAGCTTCGTTCCATTGCAATTGTCACAATTCGATTTGATTTATGCTTCTAATAACTTTCTAAATTAGATTCAGAATCCAATTTTTGCCGCAATCATTGGTGACTGCAGCACAAAATAGGTTTCAATGTACTTTATTAAAAAGTTGAAAAGCCAAATTCTCAGGCGAACTGTGTTCAAAACTAAAATTTTATAAGAACTGTTTAAAAATCTATTACGTGTTAAACAACAAAACTATTATTCTCTTATTTTGTTTTTCATGATAAAATCCATGCACACTATTAAAAATCAACATGATAAAAACCAAGCACTACTATTTACATTATCCATTTGTTTACGAATTTTCATGTATATCGCCCTTTCTGCAATTGAATAAATGCCCTCTACATTTAACAAAGGCAGAAGCAGACGGCCCTGACTGCGAGTTGTCAGTTATTTTCCTCCCCAATGGAAAACGTGAGTGTTCCGCGCTAGGCATCCGCGCTCTTATCTCATTACGCCAATGTGCTTCTGATTACAGTTATACGCGGGACCTCATGCTTCAGAGTTCACAAAGCGCAAAACACAAGCTTCCTTAATGAATAACCAGTCTAAAAGTCTACGAGAGATTATTTTTGTTGCAGACAACATCCACTCGCAAAAATGTGACAGATGAACCGCCTAACAAATAAGCCGAAGTCTGATCCGTAAAACTTGATTGAAATAATGAAACATTTTATAGTACGATGTAGTAGCAGTTTATGCTCTCAAGGTTATTTGTTCCCAAGAGAACAGTGGCGGTTTGTGATTTCAGAAGTTGGTTGTTCAAAATATTAATTAAGCCGGAATGGTTCCCACACACATGACGGGATGGCCCAGTTAGGTCCTTGAACAAACACAGCCTACCGTGAGGCTCTGCAACTGCAGGCAGCTAATGATTCTTCTATGTTTTAATGGTTCCGGTGGGGTTCGGTATGTCCCAGAGGACACAATACATTAAATTTTCTAAAAAATGTAATGCAAAATGCTTGCATAACTACTGAAATGTTCATGTTTCTTTGCTCAAAAGCAAATTTACTCTAAAACGTATGAATAATTGTATAAACGTATATCTCTCTATAAAATAGCAACGTCTTTTTTGCACCCAATCCTCACCTTTCTCATGAAGATTTCTCATTCTTTCCCTCTCACAAATCTTGCCAACGTTGTGAGCATGCAAGCTGTCTGAAGAGCATTTTTGTGCTCCATCTGAGAGCCCTGATCATTGGGGGATTGACTAACACTATGGAGCTATGTGCCTCTCAACGCCACACTGCACTTCGCTGCCGGTCATTGTCTACCCTTTTCCACTGTGGCGCCGGGCCAGCATCTCTGATTTAGTAATCACCTGCCCTGCAGAACATTCATATGGGACTCATTCTCTCGATTCCGATGTGAAGTTAATGGAAGAAAACTCTGATGTGAGTATGACTCACGAGAGTAATTATTCAAATTGTTGTTATGAATATTACATTAACTAAATATATTTAATAAATGAAAATTGTGTTAGAGGCGCAAAGATACTACGACTGGCGCGAGCCAAATTTGTAAAATAACATTAACTATTGGAGCTCCAACAGCACATACTTTCTCGCATTATTTCTAAAGGGTTGCGTAGAAAGAATTATCCTAATTTGAATCACATCGTACAGAGGCACTGTACGCGTAAGCGCGACATGGATATATGGAATAAGAAGGGGCGGCCATTTGCAATTATGGCATTGTGGGTCCTAGAGCTCCGCTCTTTCGCTGGGGAAATTTACTTTAAAAATAAAGTCTCCCAGTACTTTTTCAAAAAATTGTACACTACCTTTTTTTAAGAGATTTTAGAACAGATTTTATGTAAGACATAAATATCTATTTTAATATTGTAATTTTCTAATGTTAACGTCTTTCAACTTTCAAAAATACACAGTTCGCCAAAATTGGGGCTAGCACCACTTTATACCTTAAATTTGTTACAAATAAGAAGAAAATCTAAACAAGAATTCGTGAGATTTTTGAGAAAAATATAGTTTAAAATTCACCTATTTTCATGCAAAATTACGCAAAAAAATTCATTTTCGAAAAATTGTACATGACCGTATTTCAAGATTCGTTGTTAAAGAGATTACTTTATTCATGCAAAAATTTCTCTTCATTTATAGTTGTAGGAAAACGGCGACAAAATATAAACTTTTGGAATTTGACTTATGGAGTAACTTATGGAGATAAGAAAAATCAGACCTGCGCCATTCCCTGGAGCGTCTTTCACCTTATCCAAGGACGAAGTTTAATCACGAAATTTGAAACCATATTTGAGAAAACCTTTGAGTAATTTTTTAGGAACAAGATTTATCCACATTTTCTGTGTCAGGGTTCCACAATATGAGATTACTTTCTCTTTAATACGATAGTTTCTCTTTAATACGTACGAAGTAAGGCGAGGAAGTAAAATGGAATTACTCACTCTCAAGAAATATCGCATTTTGTGAGAAAGGCATTTAAATGTGTGGCATTTTAATTAGCTCCATACTGTCAAATACCGTTCGAAAAGATAAGCTTCTTTCTCAAAATGTCCAACGTTTTTCTAATTCGTATAAAACACACTCTTTGAATTGTTGAAAAATCTTATATTTTTTCATTTTGTTTTACATTTTTTCATACAGTGAGGCAAGCGCTTTATAAGAGTGAATAGAGTTACGACGTAGCTCGCAATAGTACTAAGCAGGTACTAAGAGTCACAAACAGAAAAGCGAGGATGCTCCCACTGGAGACCCCAATATCGAGAAAAAAAACTCGATCATTTTCTTGTCCCTCCAGATTCGAGATATCGAGATTGTACAATATTAACTGTAGGAAACAAATTAGGCAACATAAATAGGTGTATAGAAGACAATAATTTTGTCAGATGCGTGCAATGTTTATCTAAAACCTTCGTAATTTTCAATCCGTCTTCATCATCGTTCAAGTATCATTTGGCTCAATTTTCGGGGTTGGATCATGCGATATCAGATATCAGCAGCCGAGAAGTTAATGCTAGTGCCATCTGTTGAGGATTCAAGGAACATTTTGAATACTCTGTGAAAGATAACGTTGAAGCATGGTACAATAAAAATGTGCAAAGAATGCTTCGTAATTGAAACATTATAGAACGAATATCGAGTATAAAATACAGCATTCTGTATTTGAAGATATAGAGAACCGAGACGTCTCAAGAAATGATTTCGGATACAGATTTCCTTTCGGATTTCGAGGCATATCACAAAAGCTTAAATGATTCTTGAAAATAAAATATTACATTCACTAATATTCTTAAACCATTTTTTTCACAACGAAGAAGTTAATCGAATTTTGGTAAATAACTTTATTGGTAGTCTGCTTTTCTCTCAATCTTGTCCAAAGAAATTTTCAAATGAAACCAAGCCTTGGAATAACCATGGCCTCCTCTCCCAGACATTGCGTAGTTTCCTGGAGACAGGGATTTTACATTTACGGCCTTTTTTAACCCTTTCGGCCCTCATGTTCCAAAACCTATTCTGCATGAATGCTACATATTTTCAGTCGTTCGTACACGCGGGGACCGGGTATAGAAAGTATTGTAAAACATTCGTTTTCGAAACGAGAGAAAATACCAAACGCGCGTATACGAAAAAAAGGGGAAATATTTTGGACAAGCAGTTTACTAACAAAGGTACGTTTACTGTTATTACCTTTTTTAACCGTTTCGTATACGTACGTATATATGGAAAGATACACGTGGTGTAAAGAAAATTATATATTGCTGCAGCGAAAAGTGCCGTTTTTTCGACCGAAAAATTCATTACGTGGACCCCTGACACCATAAAAGTGTGTTTTTTCTCCTACGTGTACAAAATTACCTTCTATATTACGTAGTACATTCAGACTCCACGTTTTGTTACCTTGATACCGACAAATTGGTTTTCGGCAAAACGTACGTTTGTGTGAAAACACTTGCGCCTAAACCACACACAGGATTTTTCCAAAATGAATATTCCCCTATTTATCTGGCTCAACTCAACACCCTACGAATTTGAAACGTATTCTTTGAATTTTGGTGGTGCTTCACAGGTTATGCGTATTACCCTACGGTACATAACAATAACGATGATTTTGAGAAAAATAGTTTTTACCACCACGTCAACTTTTAATATTCTGCCACTTCTACGAGGCAACGCTATGTTGACGCTATTTTACGTAACAGAGGTAAATATGCATGTGTATGAACTCGTCTCTTCACGTTATCATGGACTAATGATATCTAGATGGTTCCGTTTAAAAATCTATCTATTGTCGATACCACATAATTGAAAAAGCGGTAACATAATACTGTACTTCATCTCATATGCTTCTCGCATATTTTTATGTTATTGAAAATCGCATCTCAATATCTGCAATGGTTCAGGAAATATTCGAAGAGAGTATCTTAAACGAGCCATTCTATATTAGAGAGATTGGTTCAATATATAGTACCCATTTTCAGGACTATAACAATAAAATTTAGGGCAACCGAGAACACACACATGCAAACTCAGGATCACATTGCGAATATTTCTTAAGGTGTGAACTGACACAGTAACTGAGAAGGAATCCACCGAACTGTTTGATTTTTTCATTTTTTAAAATTATTTTTTGAAACCCAAGTGTATTAAATATTTTCCTTGATTTCCAACCCTTTTGCTTTTGCCTTAAATCTAATTAACCGGTATTCCTAACTAAGTGAAAATAATTTTGGTTTCAATTTATTTGTTTAATTGAACTCAATTATTAAATTCTATGCATTTTAACTGTTTTTGAAGCGTCGGTTCTGAAGAATGTTTTCTGTAAAAATACACGTCAGCCAAGTGAGCCGAAAGCGGATCACACTGCGTTCAAACACAAAATTCTTTAGGAAAGTTTGACATGGATTCGCGTACCTGGTACTTGATAAACTATAGTAAAGAATTAATCGTGAATGATACCAAATTTCTGGTTAATCCGAGTTAAACCATGTCTAGACAGACTAAATTTAGTCCGGTCTAACGACGGATCATCTTTTGACTTTCATATATGAATACCGAATGCCTTAGTCCACCGCTAGTCCAACTTTAGTCCGAACTAAAAGACACCAAGAGTATGGTCGTTCGTGTTTTAAAGATAAAGACAGCCAGGAGTTTCAGACAAACGATTAAGCAATGATCTTCTCAACGAATTTATATTTTTAAATTTTCGATTAAATTATCATCTTTCTGTTCTCGAAATCAGATCCATCTGGAAAGGGAGCCGGGGAAGAGCTGTTTACCAAGACTGATCCTCCCGCTCGGATACCTACAACGTAGCCATGGCGGACGCGTCAACACTAGCAGCGGAGAAGGCGGCGAGGCAGAAAGAAAAGAAGTGCTTTCTCGCCAAAATGGCAGCGGCCGCTGTCTCTGAAACTGTTCTTCCTGCAGTGCATGTGCGTAGTTGTTTTGTTGCACATGTGTTGTTTTTCATGTACGGTTACATGAGCAATTTCCTAACGGAAAGAAAATAAGTTTTTCAAACAACATTAATCGCATGACGGCCCGGCCCGGATAGCCGAGATCGCTTAGGCTGAAGGGCCTTAAATTGCCTCGATCCTGAGGGGTCGCGGGTTCGAGTCTCGCCCGGGGTATGGATGTTTGTGATTGTCCATTTTATCACCATAATTTCATGTCTCATTCCCCAGCACTTAACAACCCCGGGTTGTAAAAAATGAATTCAGCACAGAAATCCTGCCCTCCCTTCCCAAAGAAGTCACGTACACCTACCCGAAAATATAATTGGGCCTCGGTGGGTACAAGTGCACATTCGTGTGGTCCAAAGATGACCAATTCGTCAAAAAGAAAGTATTAAGGATTTAAAAGTTCGGATCAAGTTTGCTTTGAGCTTAGCTAATATTCGCAGACGCACATTCATATTGAAACCGTTCCTTCTTAGTACTTTTTTTCTTTTTTAATATCGACTTAACGTCTATCTCGGGTATTTAACTTTCGATCTAAATAAGAATACTAAGAAACACAAAACAATAAACAAATATCTCAAGACTTTATCATTAACTCAGGTATATCATTAATAGGGGCGGATTTTGATGACCTAAAACATTGGTAGTGATGTTGTGCCAGTTCAAAAATGATCAACAAAATGCTCTTAAAATGCTTTAAAAAATGCCCTCAATCCAAGGAAAATGACGTAAAAGTTTGTTCAAAACCACTTCAGATGAACAATTCAAGCTGTTGAATATGTTACTGATGTAATCGAGACTTCT